CGGTCCGCAGTGACCTATACTTGGATTTGTCACTGTGTTTTCTGGCTTGGTATTTTGTTTTCGGATTTGTCGTTGTCTTTTTTGACTTGTTATAATGTTTTTGGAATTGTGGTTGTCTTTTCTGAATTGGTATTTTGTTTTTTAGATTTGCATTTGTGTTTGTAATTTGTTATTTTGTTTTCAGAATTGTGATTTGTTTTGCACTTCTCGGCCACCGTATGACTGCCATGACTCTCATCCCTTGCCAGAATAAAATAAAATAAAATAAATAAAATGCATTAAATACACTTTATGCATTTAATGCAGAAATAAATCAAGTTTGAGATAAAAGAGACAAATATTAATCAGTGTTTTTGAGCTAATTTATTAATTAATTTATTAATTAATTTATTTTATTTCAGTTTTAGTTTGAACAGTTTTAGTTTTAGTACATTGTTAAACTAAATTAAAATGAGAAAGGTTGCCTGGCAACCAGCTGAAATAAAGTTTGTTTTCATTTAATATAATTTAATATTTGTTTTATTATTATTTTTAATATTATTTTTTTAAGTTTATTTTCTGTGAATGTGTGAGACATCTGATTCATAACTAGAAGGATAACAGTAAATGAAAAACTATTTGCACTACAAACTAGTGTGTTCATTACAATAACACATTTTGAAAAAATGATATACTGTAACTGGTTTGCAATATCAAGCAGCAAAACAGACTGTTTTCATACAAGTTAAATAACTGAAAGCGGAGGAGACTGGAAGTCACATTCGAGTCATAAATGACGGCACCTCTCTAAAGTTAAAAATAAAGGCGGACATGTGCTGTTATGTCACTGAGCAGCACTGACCTCTAGATCAGTAACTCTGGAATCGGTTTGTCTTCGGTTGCGGTTTGAGTTCGGCGAGGCGGGTCCAGTAGAAGGCTGCTCGAAAGAGGAGATTCTGCCAGTGTGCCAGTTAGTCCAGAAGATCCGTTTGGATTTGATGTGCAGGTCCATGGCATCAATCCGTACGTTGGCATCTCCTTGGAAGGCCTGCTCATATATCCAGTTTTGCATTCCAGGATATAAACTGCGAATTTCATTATCATCTGCCACATATAGAGCCTGTTTATCACTGCCTAGAATGACAGATAGGGGGCGTCACAGCAGAATGACAGAAAGAAACTGTAATACCGAAATCAGCAATGCATCATATTTACTCTGAACAAATGTAGAACTTAATCTGCATACATACGATATACTCTCATAAACTGATATGTAAAATATAGAAAATCTCAACTCTCAACTATAATATCCCACAGCAATATATTTAATGTTGGATATATAGTACATCCAACTTTACCTGCATACATTCAGTATATTCTCATATATCGAGATACACTATACATTATACTGCACAGCTCTCTATATAAAGTTATATATATAGTACATCAAATGTATATATATATATATATATAGATGTACTATATATACAACTTTATACATACATTATAGTATATATATA